ACACTCCTGATATACATCAACTATTACGCCGGACATTGCACAACAGCATTTGATGAAATCAACATTAGTCTGACGCCATAACCACTCGGCCACCCTGATCCCGATTTATTGTCAGATTTAATTTTTAAGGTTTTTCAATTGGCAGATTGTGAAAATCCCAAAATTACCAGTATATGTTCTGTCAACTTTAAAACTAGATATATTATTAAGAATTTCTCTACTACGAGTTTCAAGCGCGGGAATATGCAAGATCATATTGATATGTTTTCGCATAGATTTGTTGGAATTTAATTAAAGTAATAATTTAAATGTAAAAAAAAAAAAAATTAAAATTAAAATATTTTTAATTATTTAATTTTGAATTATATTTGGTTATTTGATAATTAATTAAATTTTAACCGTATAATTCCTTTTTAATTATATTTTATATTTATTGCTGAATAATTGCATTTTAACTTTGATAATGTGTGTTCTATTATTAAATAATAATATAAGTTTCTAATAAACGACATGCTTTTAATGTAAAAGAGAAGTTAAAATATTTTTAAACAATCAATTGAATTTTCTAAATCATTATACACATGATAAATGGCATTATGAATGAATTAGGATATCTTTATAAATTAGATAATTATTATTACTCGTAAAGTATTCCTAAAATTTATATGATAAAGGATATATGATCTTTGTAGGTTACAAATCTTAACTTGTACACTTTTTGAACGCAAACTAGTGATAGCTATATCCAAGAATAAATGATTTTTCTTACTGAATCTTACTACTTAAATCAGCACATAAATTTTTTTAGTTCATGAACAAGGTCTAGAAATTTTCAATAAAATAAACTTTATGTTGAATTTTACGTACATAACATTAAAAGCATTAAAAATTTAATTAAAGAACTTGGATTTCACTAAAGACCATGAATTGATTAGCTGGCATAGCCCATATACTATTATAATAATTAATATTTCTAATTAATTATTTCTATTAATATTACCAATAAAATTACAAGCTGAAGCTAATAGAAACATTTACAGAAAAAACGCAAAACATTAATGGAAAAAGAAATTGATCAAAATATTTATATATAAAATTAATCTAATAGAAGTCTATATGTTTTCTTAAAATATGTGCAAATAAAGTCTCTTTCCTTCTATTATTCATCATAACTAAACTTTCACAGTGTACGCTATTTAAATTGGCATTAAAAGTCTATGTGACGATAAACTCAACTTCAGCTATCGTGTGATACAAAAACAACTGCTCCAGTGTTTTTATATAATTTGTCATATTCTTAAAATTACATTAAGAAAACAAAATAATTCAATTTATATTTTGAATTTGGTTGTCTAAGAATATTTAGGTAATAGGTTTAATCCCAAGAAAAAATTAAGGTTTTTTTAATAATTATGTTTAATTCTAAGATATATAAGTTATTGAGAAGTCTTCGATGACCATTGTAGATGTCAATTCATGTAGGTGTATAAAAAAACACCTCGTCAGGAGCAGGATTCGAACCTACGTTCACAAGCGTGAGTCAGATTTCCAAGCTTTCATCATTATGCATTTGCAATGCAGGACGTTTGACATTCAAGTTCATTTTAATTGCCGAATAAATTCCTGACTAATCAATTTCCGAAATTAAATACGTACGGATAGCAGAAATTTGGAGTAATATTTCAAAATCAGCCCTTTTATTAATTTTTTTTTATTTGTTTTTCTTTTAAGATCATCCACACGAAGGTAGTCATTGGTTTTATATTATCTTCCTACAAGAAGAATTTCCGTTCCTTTCAGGAATCGCTTTTTCTTTCTGAAAGCTCAATCTTCTTAAGAAGAACTCCCGATTTTAAGAAACAACATGCAGCTGATACATAAACACAAATTCATTTGTTCGTATTCACGTACGTACCAATCTCGAAATATCCATCAACTGTTACACCATACATTGTACAACAGCACTTGATGAAAGCACTTTTAGTCTGACGCCATAACCACTCGGCCATCCTGAACACAAGCTACTGTTATTGTTAAGTTATAAGGTTTTAAAATTTGTTTGATTGCAAAAATTGCAAAATTTCAAAAATTCTTCCGATTCTCTGGCGGCCTGATGGCCAAGTGGCTAGCGTTCTGGCCTTCGGTACGACAGACTTCAGGTTCGAATCCTGGGTGTCAACATGGACGTTTGTGAGTGATTAGGTATCCGCTTTAAACTGTAGGTAGGCTTATCCCTCGCACAAGATGACAGTACAGCGACAAACCAAAATTTTCAGCATAATTTGTCAAATGTGTTTATAAAGTTTCAAAGCAGAAAAATATGCAAGAATAAACTGGTATACGATTTCTTTGAATTGAGTTCATTGAAGAAATAAGTTAAATCTAAAAGAAAATTTCGAAATTAAAATGATTTAGTTTTTTGTGTCATTATTTTTGTTAAATTTGAAATAAAAAAAACTCATTAAAATATGCATTGAGTAACATTAATTAAAATGTGAGATAATTTTTTATAAATTATATTGATAAATAACAAACACCTGTTTCACACATAGCTATTTGTTTAGCATTTTGAATTCATCTGAATATGAAAATTTTAAAATTTTTTGTATAGCTTGAAAAATATAAATCTACTAATATTATTGCACAGATTCATTCCGATGAATATGTAAGAACCAAGTGGTCTAAATATTTCCTATAATTCTGTATTAATTTCTTTAATCGATAATTTAGATCTAAATGCAAATTTTAAGATTATAATATCTTCCTGGTTATAGTGAAGATGTATCTTAAGTTCCTGCGTTTATGATGGATAAGACCACGATAATTATGTAACTTAATAAAAATACTAAATACTTCTATTTATACTTCTATTTTGAAAATACTTATACTTTACTAAAAATACTTATAAATAAATATACTTATACTTTACTAAAAATACTTATAAATAAATATACTTATACTTTACTAAAAATACTTATAAATAAATATACTTATAGTTATAAAATACTTTTGAAAATACTGGAAAATACTTCTATTTTTGTTTAAAACGATCCATTATATACATCTGGGATTGTTCATATTGATTGATCCTTCTTTGAACTGTTTATACCACTTTTAAGTAACTCTCGCCAAATGCTTTCTGCAACATTTTAATATTGTGATGTTAAAAATTATAATGCTTTTTGGATCTCCAATGGATAATATAAGTAACAATATAGTGCTTATTTAATCTTCATGTGTCGAATATTTCCAGTTGAAAGCATACTACTGCGTCCAAAAAGTAAGATCAACTTTTTTTTTTCAAAAACTCTTTATTTATTCTTCCAAACTTATTTCATCGTAAGTAATCCCCTCCGGACACAATGCACTTGACAACTTTTTTTCCAATCCGCAATGCATGCTAAAAAGTTATCGGCAGGGATGGCCCCGAAAGCGGGCAGCGATTCACGTTGAATCTCTTCAATCGACTCAAAACCGTGTCCCTGGAGTGGTCTTTGACTTTACGGAAAAGCCAGAAGTCGTACGTTGTGAATACGGTGGTTTTAGAACGATATGGGTTTCATTTTTGGAGAAAATGTCGAGAAGAATCAATGCAATGTGAGCTGGCGCATTCAGTGTTCACGGTACCAATCGAGATATGACACGTTTGAGGCCCAGCATGGAATTGACCTATCCTTTTGAAATTCCAAAATCATCGGCAAGGTCTCTAATTATAATTCGACGGTTTTCAAGCAACAAATCCTTAATTTTTTGGACGTGAGCTTCGTTGGTTAGGCTGATGGTCGGCCAGAGCGCTCTTCGTTTTCAACGCGTTCTCTACCTTCTTTGAACTGTTTATACCACTTTTAATAATGCTCGCCAAATGCTTTCTGCAACATTTTATACGTTTCCGCAAACAAAAGGTATGCAAGTCCTTTGCTCAATTAATTCAGACATTTTAAAAATCGCCGGAATCAGTTGTAGCGTCTCACAAAGATACGCGTAACTCAAACACTAATGAATATTTTTGACGTCAAATTTCCCACAAATGTCAAGGACAGTGCCAGCAATATATATATATATATATATATATATACATTAGAGGAAATAAATAAATAACATTTGTAAGAATCCGGATTGTGTCTTGAGGCCTGATGGCCGAGTATCTCACGCTCGGTGACATGAATTTCGTGTTCGAGTCTGGGTTAACTTACACAGTGTGTGCTGCATAAAACTGGCCTTAACAGACTCCTGTAACAACAACGTTCTAAGTCTTCATTTAAATGTATGTGTTATGTTTCAAAATGCATTCATAAAATGTAAATGTTATGTTTCAAACGATAAACATAACTTAATATATCGTATAATGCAAAATCAACTGCTATAGTATTTTTTATATAATAGATCGTATTTCTTTAATTACGATAAAAAAAAAATAATAATTTTCTTTATAAATTAAGCAGAATTTGCCTAAATCTCAGAACTTACGTAAATGTTTTTAGATTGGTATATTTATTTTGATTTAGGTATATTTTATTACGATCATTAATATTTCTGACCAATAAAATTACAGCCTGAATTTAATAGAAACATTTACAGGAACAAAACTCAAACCATTAGTGAAAAAAAGTAATTCTACTACATATTTATACAAAATGTTTATCTAATGGAAGTCTATCAGTATTCTTAAAATATGTGTCAAAAAGGTTACACTCATTACACTGTTAGTCACAGTTTAACTTTGTATATAGTGTGTGCTATTTAAATTGGCTTTAAACAAAAAGTTTTTAAATCTTTATGCAACACCTAAGCAAAAGCTCAACGTAACTTCAGTTACCAAATAATGCATTTTTGGCATACTACTTCGAATTTTTTAAATACGATAGAAAATGATGAATCACTTTAAGACGGAAATTAGATAACTAAGATTATTTAAGTAATTTATTTATTCCCATGTTATTAAGGATAAGGCTTACATTAAATTGCAGATGTCAATTCATCTAGATGTATAAAAAATACCTCGTCAGGAGCAGGATTCGAACCTACGTTCACAAGCGTGAGTCAGATTTCCAGGATTTCCTCCATATGCAATGCAGGACGTTTGACATTCAAGTTCAATTTAATCGCCGACCAATTCCGGACTAATCAATTACGGAAATTCCCTACGAAGAATAAAGATACACGGTTGGTAGAAAGATGGAACAATACGTCAAAATCTCCACTTTTATTAATTTTTGTTGTACGTTTTGTTTATTTTTTTATTGGACAACACAAACGGGGAACCATATTTTTGCATTCGTTTTCTATAAGAAAATCTTCCTCACATAAATCTTACCACGCATTTTTTTTTCTAAAATATCATATTTCAGTCTTCGCCATGCATTGAATACAAGCATTTGATGAAAGCAACTTTAGTCTGACGCCATAACCACTCGGCCATCCCGAACACGAATTACGGTCATAGTTTATTTTTAAGGCTTTTAAATTTAGCCGTTTGTGAAAATTCCAAAATTATCCGTTTATTTTGTCAACTATAAAACTATGCATGCTATTAGAGAGTTTCAAACGGAAGAATATGCAATAATAAACTGGTATATCTTTTCTCATACTTTTCTTAAAAATATATCTAAAGAGATCATATAAATCTAAACGAAAATTTAAAAATTTTAATTATTCAGCACTTTATGGAATTTTTTAATTAATTTAAAAAAAAAAAACTTTAATTAACGTTGTATAATATTATTTAAAATATTTTAAAGCTGAAAGATCGTGGTGAAGAGTAACGCGGGTTTTGACAATTATATTTGATTATTTAATAATTAATTAAATTTTAACTTAGTTAATTGCATTTTAATTATATTTTATATTCATTGCTGATTAATTATATTTTAATTTCGATAATATGTATCGCATTATGATATATTAATTTAACTATGCATATAACGAAATGCCTATAATATAAGAAAAGTTATTAAAATATTTTTAAATATTTAATAAAATTTTCAATGTACATGTGTAAAATGTCTCCATATTACACGTAAAAATATTTTAACAGTTTATTCTTATTTATAAGTTAACTTTATTAATGAGTATTATATTAAATGTTATTAAAAATTATGTCTGCAATAAACGACATACGTATAATGTAAAAAAAGTGTAAATTCTTTTTAAAATCTTTAGTTAAATTTCCTGAATAATTTTAAGAAAAAACATACAAATACTTTGATGAACGAATTTGGATAGTTCATATTAATTAGATTAGTAATCATAAATCACTTTAAAATTGAATTTGGATATCTAAGAATGTTTAGATAATTAACTCTATTCCCAAGTTACATAAATTAATGACAAATATTACATGACATTGCAGATGTTAATTCGTCTGATGTATTAAAACAAACATATCTCGTCAGGAGCAGGATTCGAACCTACGTTCACAAGCGGAGTCACATTTCCAAGCTTTCATCAATACGCAACTGCAATGCAGGACGTTTAAGTTCAATTTAATTGCCGCACAATTGCGGACTAATCAATTACCGAAATTCAATATGACGAAATAAGAGGTATGGATAGTAGAAAGATGGAGTAATACATCAACATAACTCCTTTCTCTTTGTTCGTTTTTCTTATATAAATATTCACAATGAAGAGATACCACGTTTTCACATGCGAAGAATTACCATTCCTTTCAGGAATTACACTATACATATTTTTTTTCCGGAAATTTCACATTTCAATCATCTTACTATACATTTCCGATTCTACGAAGCAACGTGCAACCGATACATGTGAGCAAATTCATCTGCCACTCTCGGAAAAGCCATTAACTATTACGCCTTACTTTGCACAACATCATTTGATGAAAGCACATTTAGTCTGACGCCATAACAACTGGGCCATCCTGAACACGATGCATACTCATAATTAATTTGTAAGGTTTTCAAATTTAGCTGATTGAAAATTCCAAAATTATTCTTATAATTTGTCTACTATAAGACTTTGTATATTATTACAGAATTTCAAACGGAGGAATATGCGACAACAAGTTGATATATATTTTCTCATACTTCGATTTGAATTTATTTAATGATATAATTAAAATCTAATAGAGAATTTCAAAACTGAAATGATTTACTTATTTATGCTCTTATTATGGTTAAATTAAAATAAAAAACCTTTAATTTAAACGTTGAGTAATATTAATTAAAATGTTTCAAGCCCAAAGAGGCCAGGTAGAAAATAACACAGGTTTTGAGAATTATAATTGATTATTTGCTAATTTATTACTTGTATTTTAATTATAGTTTATATTTATTACTGATTAATTATATTTTAATTTTGACAATGTGTGTTGTATTATTATACATTAATGTAACTCTGTATATAACGAAATGTCTATAACGTAAAAAACGTATTAAAGTATTTTTAAATATTTAATAACAATTTCAGTGTACATGGACAAATTGTTTTCATATTAAATATGCAAAATATTTAAATAGTTTCTTCTTAATTATAATTTAAATTTAATAATTAGTGTTATATTTATTGTTACTAAAAATTATGTTTGTAATAATACGACATGCGTATAATGTAAAAAGATGGAAACGTATTTTTAAATATTTAGTTAAATTCTAATAATCATCAGAATAAATATAAATAATTTGATGAACGAAGTTGGATAGTTCATATTAATTAGTTTATTATCACTCTTAAGTCAATCCGTAAATTTATATGATAAATGTAGATGACATTTGCAGGTGACAAATGTTCCCTTTTATGTTCATGGAGAATCTAACAATAGATTTAATAAAAATTAAAAATTTTTACTGAATCTTATTGCCAATCTGAAATCAACCCACAAATTTGTTCATAAACGTGGTGTAGAAATTATCATTAAAATAAACATCATGCTGAGTTTTACGTACGTTATTCTAATATCAATTAACGTTTAATTAAGCACTTACATTTCTCTAACGAGCATGAATTGATTAGCTGACATAACACATATTTTAGTTATGATAATTAATATTTCTGTCCAATAAGACTACAAGCTGAAGCTAATAGAAACATATACAGAAAAAACCGAAACAATTAGTGAAAAATAAAACTGTTCAAGTTCTTTATATATCAAGTTGATCTAATGAAGCCTATCAGTAGTCTTAAAATATCTGGAATAAGAAGTTTCATTCATTATATTAGTCATCATAATTTAACTTTCACAGGGTGTGCTGTCTAAATTAGCCTTAAACAAATTGATTCCGTCTTTATGCAATTCAAAAACATACGCTAACCGTAACATCGATAATGGATAACTGCTGCGACAGTATTTTTTGTGTAACTCGTCGCATTTCTTAAATTACAATAAGAAATGATGAAGCATTTTATAAATGAATTTGGATATCTAAGAATATTTAGATAATTAATATAAAACTCAAAAGAAAAATTAATGAGAAGTTTTAGTTCACATTTGGAGATTTCCATTGGTCTAGATGTAAAAAATTACCTCGTCAGGATTAGGATTCGAACCTACGTTCACAAGCTTGAGTCAGATTTCAAAGCTTTCATGATAATGCATTTGCAAGGTAGGACGTCGGACATTCAAGTTCAAAGTAATTGCCGAAAAACTCCGGACTGATCGTTTACCATAATTCCCTATGAAGAATAAAGAGGTACGGATAACAGAGAGATGGAGTAATACACTGAAGTGACAAAAGTCATGGGATAGCAATATGTGAATTTTCAGATGGCAGTAGCATCGCGTAGAACAGGTATAAATGCGCAGTGCTTTCGCAGAGCTTTCATTTCTGTTCAAGTTATTCATGTGAAGAGGTTTTGACGTGATGATGACCGCACGACGGGAATTAACAGACTTTGAACGCGGAATGTTAGTTGGAGCTAGACGCATGGGTCATGCCATTTCGGAAATTCAACATTCCCAGATCCACTGTGTCAAGAGTGTGCCAAGAGTATGAAATTTCAGGCATAACATCCCACCATGGATAGCGCAGTGGTCGACCGCCTTCACTTAACGACCGAGACCGGCGACGTCTGCAAAGAGTCGTAAATTCTAACAGACAAGCAACACTGCGTCAAGTAACCGCAGGAATCAATATGGGACGTACAGGGGACTTGTCTGTTAAAACTGTGTGGAGAAATTTCGCTTTCTTGGGCTATTCCAGCAGAAGACCGACTCGAGTGCCTTTACTGACAGAACGACATCTCGTGGGCACGTGAGCATATCGGTTGGTCCCTAGATGAATGGAAAACCGTGGCCTGGTCCGATGAGTCACGATTTCAGTTGGTAAGAGCTGATGGTAGGATTCGAGTGTGGCGCAGACCCCACGAAGCCATGGACCCAAACTGTCAGCAATGCACTGTTCAAGCTGGTGGTGGCTCCGTAATGGTGTGGGCTGTTTTTTCATGACATGAACTTGGTCCTCTGGTGCGACTGGACCGAACATTGACTGGAAATGCTTATGTTCAGCTACTTGGAGATCACTTGCAGCCATTCATGGACTTCATGTACCCAAACAACGATGGGATTTTTATGGATGACAATGCGCCATGTCACCGGGCCACAACTGTTCGCGATTGGTTTGAAGAACATTCTGGACAATTCCAACGAATGATCTGGCCGCCTAGATCGCCCGACATGAATCCCATCAGTAGTACAATTTGTTGATACCTGGACTAAACACATAACTAAATTTTAGTTCACAACAACTGAATATTTAAAAATTATCAATTTCAAATTAATTTTATTCAATATTCAAAATGGAAAAGTTATATTAGCAATATTTTCTTAATTTGATGAATTTAATTTTGTTAGGATATATTGCGTTGTACAAAATACATAAAATGAAATAAATAGAAGGACAATAATTACAAATAATTTGACTGAATTTTTGTAAGTCTGTGTTGTGTTGTGGAAAATAAGTAAAAACGAAATTAAATAGAAGTCAATAATTACAAATACATTTATTTATTGAATTGAAGTATACAAAAAACGTTTCATATAATCTACACAATTTCATTTTCATGAATAAAATATTTCATAAACTGAAGTATACAAAAAACATGCTACACTTTCATAGAAACATATTATGTTTTAATAGAAACATTTCCATATGCTAAACATTGAACTTTATTACACATATACATTTTGTCATAAAAACTACAAAGACTAGTTTTATTTTGTTTTATTGTTGATACAATATGATTTTTAGAAATTATACTTGTTTGCTTATTTTTCATCAATTCATCCCTTTCTAAAATATCTAAATACAATTGATGTTTTAAAACATTTTGAACAACAGTCTTTTTTGTTCCTTTGGCTGTTTTCATTACTAAAAACATAGGAATACATTTTTGGACGCAACGCAAAAAATTCTTGTATAGGAACACCTTTTGTTTCATCCTTAAGATATCCTAATAAGGCTTTATATTT